ACGGGCCCCTAAGAGCTGCGCTCTAAAAGATGCATACACCTCCCGACCTCCCTACCGCATGGACACCGTATCGCGACTCAAATTAACGCACCATCTCCTCGGTCTCTTCCACGCTCTCAATCTTGGTTTCCTGGACCGCTATCACTTCGAGGTCGTTCTCCAAGAACAACATTAGGAGCTGGCACTGCCTTCGCCTTGTAGACCGTCCTCCCATATGAAAATCTTATATCTGGGGCATATCTCGCCATATCAAACATTATATGATTATATACGGCCTATATACAGCCTTATCCGGAGTTTATACAGCCTTATCTGGCGTATATACAGCCTTATTTGTCGAATATAAAGCTTTATCTGGAATATATACAGCCTAATCTGCCGCATATACGGACTTATCTGGCATATATACAGCCTTATTTGAGGTATCTACTTCGTTATCTGGCGTATACAGCTTTATCTGGCTGCCGGTTTTCAATGTACAAAAAGGTTTAAAAAACAAGTAAAAAAAGTGCTTTGTTAGCAAACTGTGAATGACTCGTTGTTCGCGAGCTAAATATTAGCACAAATAATCCTAAACTTCAGCTTTGGCAAGCTTAAGTTTGGTATTATTTGTGCTAATTTTCACGAGGATTTCAATGCAGCTTAATTATTTCGAAGTGTTAACATTGCGCGAAAATAGACAATTTGCTAAATCCCCCAAGCGCCTCGACCCGTACTCGAGGAATCATGGGGACGGGGTTACTTCAGCTGCCTAGGGATCGGAAATTTCGACAAATTCTATGGTTACACAGTTTTGACTGTAATTCGGAGTCACTCTCAATGAGTTCGTATAGAACCCAAGTACCTGTCATATCACGTTTAAAATTTCACGCCAATGTCATTACTGTGCATTCTGTCCAACACTCAACCTGGATGAGCTGCAGACATATCTCTTACATTATTATCATTATCTCACGGCTTCAAAGACGCTGATATTAAGTTAGAAACGCTAAAAATGCTATAAACAGCTCCGCTGAATCCGAGCTAAATTCCAATAAATTGAAGACTATGTTTCAAGATGTCCAGTGTGTCAGACACACCGAAAGCCTGGCGCAGAGCCCCTGCTACACACTCCACTCCCGAATCACCCATGGGAAGTTGTAGGCGCGGACCTCTTTTACGAAAATGGCGAGAACTACCTTGTAGTGGTAGATTATTTCTCGAGGTTCTTTGAACTTGAGAAATTAAGAAAGACAACAACCCAAGACATCACACGGAAACTCAGCGAGATGTTTGGTTTTGGAGCACCCGCCATCATTCGGTCAGACAATGGGCCAATTCGCTTCTGCCGAATTCGAAAGGTTTGCGAAGGAGTGGGGATCACGCCATGTAACAAGTAGCCCATATTATCCTCAGAGCAATGGGGCGGTGGAAAGGACCATACAGACGGCGAAGCAGCTGCTTAAGAAGTCGCCGAACATCCACAAGGCGCTGCTTGCTCATCGGGATACCCCTGCAACTGAAGGATACCCCCTGCGGAACTCATGATGGGAAGAAAGATACTGACAAATGTTAAAGCTGTGTCCAAAGCGTTCCAGCCTCGGTGGAACAGCGAGCCCTTTCGGAAAAAGGATCGTGCATACAAAGCCAAGCTGAGTGCACATTACGATGCCCGTCATAGGGTCAAAGAACGAGACCCTATACCTCCACATACAGCTGTGCGAATTCTGTCAGGAGCAGCCACAAGTGGGACAGTGCTGCAATCAACGCAGTCTCCTAGGTCATATGCGGTGAACACAGCCAATGGCATCACTCATTGCACGAGCAGACATCTGCAACCTTGGCAGCCTGGAATAACCGTCACGAGAGGTGGACGAAAATCAAGACCTCCATGCCGCCTCAACCTGTAGGTGCTGGGAGTCTTCAAAGAAAGGGGGGTGTAGTGAGAGCCACAGCACGAAGAGGGTGCCACAAGCCAGACGACAAAGAAGCCAGCGAAAGAGCTGAGTGCGAGAGTCTGGGTCGGAGAACGCCAACACGACGGACGCACAGAGACTTGACGTGCGGGCTCACTGCTCATGTAACCATGTAACGTATCGTTAACTCGAATTAAACGTTTCGTTTACGCCAACCTCGTCCCGAGAGGAATCTGCCATGTCTTGATGAATACGCAATAAAAGAAAACCAGGTCTCGAAGCTAGCGCTCGTATTTTATTGAAATCAACAGCCCCTAATTTGCTGGCAAACAGGTATACAAGGTTAGTTGGAACAGGCTATCAAACATATTTACATTTCTTTCAACTGTTTATACAACAAAAATTCGCACATGCCTGCTCAAAGCCAAGGTGTCCAAGTCTAGGGAACTTCCAACTCTGGCCATCAGTAACCTATTCCAACAAAGCACACATCTCCAGATAACTTCAGGCTTACATATAATCAACAATCACGTGTTAATGAGAAATATATTTGCAACAATGAGAGACCTGTAATAGTGAGCAAAATTTCGGAGAGGATAAAGCTGTTTGAGGTATGCCACGCGAGTCGGCTACTTCTACCAAGCACACAGATGCAAAGCGGTGAAGCTTTATGTGTGCGCAGAGCAGTGGTAGGAAGCTGTGGCCAGACTGTCCGTTTATATTTAATTAGTTTGTTTTTCGCCTCAGATATTTTTTTCTTTAATACAAGGGTCGGCCTACATTCAGAAATTATGTATGTTCTAGTAAATATGATTGCTAAAATCGGGAAAGTGCCACAAACAATAGGTCTAACGTGGTTGGACAGCAGTGATGAAGTTATAATGTAAGCAGCCAATTTGATTGCCTCATAACATGATTAAAAAAAGATAAATACATCATACCGGATGGGCCTGGTGCAAAGTTCTGAAAAACTCGAAGCACGGTAGTCGTAAATTAATGTTTAGAGAGTGGTCGGACTGGCTTTGCTGTGGTGACACTGGTCCACATCATAGAGGAACAATTTAGTGATTGCAGAATGACTACTAACACGGGGTCTTTCAAGGAATGCTGAACCAAAATTCGGATTTCACAAAATAAGGCCGCAGAAGTGTTCACAGGACGCTACGAACGCCAAAACATCACTCATACAGCAATATCTCGAACCGATGGCCGTGTTTTTGGACAAAAAGGGCAGGACTGAGCAAAGAATGCGACGTAGCCATTCTCTGGGAACGGTTGAGAACAAGAGAAAACGGACGTCCTTCTCTGCTCCTCGGTTCGGTTTACCTCCTCGAGGGGACAAAGGGGAGAGGGAATGAGAATCTGAACATGACAGGCCTTGCCTGCCTTCGTCGTTCAATCGCTCCCTTCTTTCCTAAAAATACGGCCATCCGTCCGAAATATTGCGGTACGAGTGATGTTATGGGGGTTTGTAATGTCCCGCCTATTGCACCTGGCTTGTTTTACGAGATCCAAAATCTTGTTTCGCATCCATTTAACATGCATCAAGTGATTTGCTTTTTCGCAAAATTTTTCACTGCCTTAAAGTATTTACACAGGGAAGTTTACATGTTTTGACTGTGACACTACTCATCCCTAGTCAGTGGCTCCCGGAAATTGCTTAAGAAACAACAAACTTGAAAGACCTGGTTAGCAATGCCGATCATTGTGATGGGGAACGGACGATCCAAAATGTGAAACTGTTTTACCCTCCCAATCACACGCTCAACAATTACTCTGGCACTAGCCACCCGGCGGGAGTGCGCAACGTCCTCCTCTGGCATTTGCGGCTCTTGCGGCTTTCTGAAAGCAGGGATGTGCATCTGAACCCCTGCTGGTATGTTATTAAGCTTGAAACCCTTATCCACCATAATGGCGTCACCTGACTCCGATAGCCCTAACAACCCACTCTCCTCTACAATCAGCCTGTCTGAAACTGACCCTCCCCACAACTTGGAAACGTATGAAACGTAGCCATCAGCGGTACAGCCAATGACCGCCTTATAAGTATTAAAATGCTTATAAGGTGAAAAAGTATGCCTCTGGGCAGCCAGGGAAGAGGGCCTCTGGATGCGCACCTCCGTTCCGTCGAGAACTATTCTTGTGTTTAAGAAGTAGCGAAAGGCATGAGGCAGATACATCTGAATTTCGTGCAGAGATGTAAGCCGTGTCAGTGTACTCAACTCTCGCTGCAGGAAGTTTATCCAGGTTGTAAACAGCCTGCTCACCGTCGCTTCATGTACTCCAAAATTGCGGGCCATTTCCCTGCCAGCCATTCCCGTTCTCAGCCTAGTAAGTACCATGAAGAATTCCTCAATGAGCTCCAACTCCCGGGGGCGGCCTTTCATCCCGTTACTCTTTCGACCGCTGGACCAGTATTGCATCTGGGATGCCCGAGGTGCAAAAAAATTGTATACTGCTTCAAATACAGCAAACTCGGGCAGCCCAGTGTAATAAATGCACTGCTTGGGGTCATGTCTGATGAAGTCAACCGATAGCCGCCGTGTCTCGTGGTGCTGTAGCTCCACTTGGAGGCGCATGTTGTCAGCTTCCAAACTCAAGATCCGCTGCTGCATCTGTGCAATCTTGAGTCTGCACCCGTCATGCGTCCCAGACACCACGGACTGACCAAGATTGTCCTCGTGCTCGATCTCTGTAAAATAGAAGTATGCATAAATGAATTCATAATTATACAGTTTTTGTCTCTATTTCTTAAGCTGAATAATTATATATGTGCTATTCCTGCAGATTTCTGAAATAAGCCCCTTGCACTCAAACACAGAGGAATTTTGGCTCCAATTACTGGCCATTTTCTGCTTGCCAGCAATATTATATTATACCCATCCAAATGTCGGAACGATAAATGCATGTAGATATAAAATAGTGAAGTAGTAGATTAAATAAAACTTGCGCATAATTTTGCTCAGCTTTACTCTAACTGCTTATGATGAAAGTTCTGAAAAGGTTGTCTACCTTGCGTAACAGCCCATTTGTATGCTGTTTAGACACCATAAAGCAGGTTCCTTCGTTCAAAACTACAAACCATGCAGGTATGTATATTAGCAGTTATGCCGAATGATTTAGCGACATGAACTGTGACAGCTGCCTGCTGCACAAGTAACAGCAAGCATGAGCACCTTCGATGGTTTGCTGGACACATGGAGTGCTTGTCTGGGCTCCATGCCCATTGTCCAGGAGGGGCGGGCAATGTTCCGGGATGCTGGTCTCTCCTGTAAGGGGACCAACGACCAGGGATGCTCTTGCTTGTGCCACAAGTGGGATTGCTGCTCTGGAAGGCCCAGCTGCTGCTGCTGTCGAAGGCCCGGCTGTAGCTGTGGAAGGTCGAGCCGCAGGTACGCAAGGTCTGGTTGCAGCCGCGGAAGGTCCGGCAGCAGCCGCAGAAGGTCTAGCTGCAGCTGCGGAAGGTCTGGCTGCAGCCGCAGAAGGTCTGACTGCAGCTGCGGACTGTCTAGCTGCAGCTGCGGAAGGTCTGGCTGCAGACGTGAAATGTACGGCTGCAGGCGCGGAATGTCTGGCTGCAGACGCGGAATGTCTGGCTGCAGCTGCGGAAGGTTTGGCTGCAGCCGCAGAAGGTCTGACTGCAGCTGCGGAAGGTCTGGCTGCAGCCGCAGAAGGTCTGGCTGCAGCCGCAGAAGGTTGTGCTGCAGCTGCGGAAGGTCCGGCTGCAGACGCGGAAGGTCCGGCTGCAGACGCAGAAGGTCTGGCTGCAGCCGCAGAAGGTCTGACTGCAGCTGCGGAAGGTCCGGCTGCAGCTGCGGAAGGTCTGGCTGCAGCTGTGGAAGGTCCGGCTGCAGCTGTGGAAGGTCTGGCTGCAGCTGCGGAAGGTCGGGCTGCAGCTGGAGAAGAACCGGCTGCTGGCTGAGGTGCCCCATGTTGAGTGCTTGCAGGAACTGGAGCGGTTATTTGGGCCACAATCCTTTTTTTGACAGCAGCTGCAGGGTCACAATCACAACACACAATATTCGTGCTGCATAACCAATGCATACTATTATTGAAACCTGCAAAATGTAAATCTCGGGGTTGTAGATGCCAAACAAACGTAGGGCATCTGGCACGTCTCAGCGGTGGACGAGAATAATTTCCACTACTTGGAAATCTTATGACGTGCACTAAAAATCTCCATCTAGCTATGACCATTTATAAATCTGACGACTCTACACAGTGTCATAATTTTTCCTCTCTAATCATAACGCTTAGACATCATGCAATGAAAAGAGGGAAGGCAGTGGCAAACTGGTCTGCATGAGCTACTTCTCTAGTGCAGTGAAAAAAATGCGTAGGAAACAAGAAACCTGGCGAAGCACCAGCAGGCTCAGATACACACGCATCAACTGTATTACGCTCGAAACGTGACGGCGATCTGACATGGTCGTCGCGCAGCGTGGTGATAAGCTGAGCTCACGATGTATGCACTGCCGCCGGCGCGGACGCTGGCAGCTACCAACGCCGTCCCCATCAACAGCGGATGTTACGAAACCAGTACCCGTAGCCCGGTCAACAAGTCAAATCGTGCGAGCATGCTGAAGAGGCAGCACGAGATTACTAAACACGACGTAGTACGTACCCCCCGTCGACAAACGATGTTTCCACCGTCCGTAGCGGCCGAGGACCGACGGCCGGTTCTTCACGTAAGTGAATACAGTCGGCACGTAGTCAGGGTGGCTGTAGTCCAGTGATGGATCCCCTGTTTGATAAAGTGGCCGTGTTACAGTTCCGGTGCTTCTCGAAAGTATGATGAAGGACTTACCTGTTACGAAGTGATCCTCGCATATTCGCGACTCCTTACTTGGCTCCCAAGCCTTGTTTGGGTCTGACGGGAGCACTCGCTTCACTGCTCGGATCCAGGCCGCTCTTCGATGAGGGAACAGTTTCTTCGAAGGGAATCGAAAATAGCTTTTCTTGTCTCCTGGCCGGTGCCAACTCCGGCAGCCAAAGGCCACGCAGCTCGTCGGCATCCCGCGGAACGCGACAGCGAAATCGTAGCGTAGTCGCGTAGTCTTACTATGGTCTCACGCTTCGCTAGCTTGTCGTCTCTCCCAACATACCCTCGAACCCGGGCGTCCGGCGCGCAGAGATACCGCGCATGCGCACTCCGTATTTTCGCAAAACGTGGATTGTAGCTGACAGGAGGTAGTTGACAGAGCACGAGGCATCTCATGCAGTCTCCTGCTTTTCTCGTGCCGAAGCGCAGCAAGGTTGTCGCGCGTCACTCTAAAAAAAAAGGGTGTAGTACTTACACCCATTGGGGTGTATGTGACTTGTCACATATGCGACACCCCAGAAGGGGGTGCACATATGCACCTCATTTTGAGGTGCATATATGCACCTTTGCGTACACCCCGATACTCATCGGGTGTACAGACACACCCCACCCCGCGGTGTATATATATTCCGTTTTACACTCTCCTCACTTACTGGGAATACCAGGACACTCCATTCTTAGGTGTACATATATACCGTTTTTCACTCACTGGGAATACCAATACACCCCAATCTTAGGTGTACATATATTTTTTTTCACACCCTCTTCACTTATTGGGAATGCTGTTACACTCCATTCTTAGGTGTACATGTATTCCGTTTTCTACTCTCTCCTCACTTACTGGGAATACCGATGCACCCCATTCTTAGGTGTACATATATTCTTTTCCACACCCTCTTCACTTATTGGGAATGCTGTTACAACCCAAACTTATGTGTACATATATTCCGTTTTTCACAGTCACCTCGCTTACTGGGAATACCGATATGCCCCATTCTTAGCTGTATGTGTCCGAAGTCGACAAAACTTACTGTAAACATTTTCGATCGAAATGAGGGGAAATGTCTTTGCAGCTGTTTTCAAGCTTTTGACCGTCAAATGACGGTCAAAGGTGTTTTGTGTCATTTGAATGCACCCCATTTGTCAACCGGAAATACAATTAAGCCATCAATTTTACATTCTATCGCCATTTAATTATACGGCCCGGCATCATTTTGATGTCCCAATTGTCAACCTGAAATAGAACTGAGCCATCACTTCAAGATATTAACGTCATTTCATTATATAGTCAGGCGTCATTTTGACATATCCTTGTCAATCTGAAATACAATTCTCTCGTCAAATTCACAAAACTCCGTTCATCCACAAGCAGAGGCTGCGGTGGGAGCTACGTGCCGGTGGGATTAGAGTGCCTTCATACACACGCGCTTTTGCTTGAGTGGTGACATCTCAGCCATTTTTCCGCCCAATCGTTTCTTTATGCATCTTGAAGTGCGCGCAATCCGGTGTCACTCAGCTCGAGCGCGTAGCTTTGGGGTGGGATCAATCATCCGCGCCCCTTTCATCACTCGACCCTGCTCTCTGCGCGTGGGTATGGGCAAGAGCATGATTACGTGAAAAAAGAGAAGTTTATGACTGGTCCGAGGACGTATAGCTTCCACTAGTCTCAGCTTATGGATGAATGGAGTAAATGTGACAACATTGCATTATACGATTAGGTGTAGTTTTCTGTATTCGTCAATCATATATAGGACACTAGTGCCGTACCGTGATATGTATGCCTGTAATTTTATTTTATCGAAGTTTGTGTTGTGGTAGGTAGGGTGCCTTCATGTGCGAGGACATTGAGGCACCCTAGTGGTAGGCTTGTTTCACCATCATCTTGTAGCAGAGCCGACAGGTGCCACAACCACGCGGGTTTTAGAAAACACCCGAGTGAATGCACTTCCAGACTAAACAACCGAGGCTCCACTGCGCCGGGCGCAGTGCCGGTGAGCGCGCCAGCTCACGCTACCGCGTGGCCTCGGGAGCCGCGCGAAATAAGAGAATATATGCATTTTGTCAAAGCTCTGAGCCGGACGTCCCTTTTTCTTCTCCGACGCTTTCGAACACACCGCCGACAAATTGGTGACCCGGACGTCCGACCACAATGAACCAGAGCGCAGGCAACTCCACCGACGACGCAGGCTTGACCACCACCCTCCAGCTCCGCCTTCCAGTCTTCTGGGCGAAAAGTCCACGGGCCTGGTTTTCCCAAGTGAAAGCACAGTTCCACTTGCGGCACATCACCACCCAGTTGTCACGCTACTATCATGTCGTGTCAGCCCTCCCCCCAGAACTGGCTGATGAGCTGGACGACATACTGGCGGTGCCACCTCCTGACGACGCTTTCGACCACCTTAAGCGCACTATCCTTGCCAGGAAGACGGAGTCGGAGACGTCGCGGCTTCAGCAGCTCTTGAACACTGAAGAGCTGGGCGACCGTAGACCATCCCAGCTGCTCCACCGCATGCGGCAACTGCTGAGTGAGCAAGCGTCTGACACGAGGAATTCTATTTTACGGGAATTGTTCCTCCATCGCTTGCCCCAAGGGATGCGCATGGCCCTCGCCCCAGCTGCAGACTTAAGTCTTGACCGCCTCGCGGAGATGGCCGATCGCGTCCCCGAATACGCTACACCTAGCCTGTCGAGCGTCGTGGACACTTCACACCAGTGCTCCTCCACCCGAGCCCTCGAAGCCCGCATTGACACTTTAACAGCAAGCGTCGCGGCCCCTAGCACGAGAAGCAGACCGCGTGAACCAAGAAGGCGCCGATCATCTCGGCGTCGCAGTTCATCGCAACGACGAGAAGGCTATACCTGTTGGTACCACCAGACATTCGGCAACAGGGAGCGCAAGTGCGAACAACCATGCAACTGGCAGGAAAACCCTCCGGCCCGTCACTAGAGGCGGCAAGTGACCAAGGCCCAACAGCAAGCCGTCTGTTTTTCATCACAGAACGTATTTCAGGCCGCCGCTTCTTGGTCGACACCGGAGCTGAAATGTCCGTCCTTCCTCCAACACTGCCGGAAAGACGACACCCACTGCCCGGATCACACCTCGTTGCAGCAAACGGATCCAATATTCCAACATACGGAATGCGCTCGGTGACCCTAGACTTGGGATTACGCCGAGTCTTCCGATGGATCTTTGTCATAGTTGATGTGACCTACCCACTCTTAGGTTCTGACTTCCTTTCCCACTTTGATTTGGATGTCAGTATGCACCACCGTCGCCTGACTGACAACCGAACTCGCCTTGCGGTCAATGGAGCCTTCACCAACTTAACTTCATTTGGCATTCGAAACATCCTGCCTGCGTCCAGTTTTGCCGATATCCTAAAAGAATTTCCAGAGATCACGAAGACGTCTAACATATCAGAGCCACCACCACACGGAGTGACACATCATATCTTCACGTCTGGCCCACCCACTCTTGCTCGCCCTCGTCGTCTATCGGGCGAACGCCTCCGCGTAGCCCGACTAGAGTTCGAGCACATGCAGGAGCTCGGCATCATCCGACCATCAAAGAGTTCCTGGGCCGCACCCCTCCACATGGTCCCCAAGAAAGATCCGGGAGACTGGAGGCCGTGTGGGGACTACCGAGCGCTGAATAATCAAACACAGCCCGATCGGTACCCATTGCCTCATATCCACGACTTCACACAGCACCTGGATGGCACATCTATCTACAGCAAGATAGACTTGGTGAAGGCGTATATCCCAATAGAACCTGCGGATATACCGAAGATGGCAATCACCACCCCCTTCGGCCTCTTTGAGTATGTCCGTATGCCCTTCGGGTTGCGCAACTCCGCGCAAACCTTTCAGAGGTTCATCCACGAAGACCTCCATGGACTTCCTTTCATCTTGGCCTACGTTGATGTCCTCTTGATTGCGAGCGCATCACCCGAAGAGCACAACGAACATCTACGCCTTACCTTTGAGCGACTCCGTCTATACGGACTGACCATCAATGTGGCAAAATGTACCTTTGGGGCAACGGCTTTGGAATTTCTCGCACACCGCATCACACCTGCTGGCATCGAACCTCTCCAGTCCAAGGTACAAGTGATCCGAGATTTCCCCCAACCAAAATCTTTGAGGAAGCTGCGAGAGTTTCTTGGACTCATAAACTTTCATCGAAGATTTATTCCACACTGCGCACAAGCTATAAAACCTCTGACAGACTTGCTACGTGGCCAACAGAAACCCTCCACGGAAATACCATGGCCAGACAGCGCACTAAAGGCTTTCACCGCTGTAAAAAATGCCCTTGCCGACGCCACACTTTTGGTGCACCCTCGAAATAACGCTCCAACGCGCAATATGGTTGATGCTTCGGAAGTTGCCGTAGGAGCAGTGTTGCAACAACAAAACAACAATGAGTGGCTCCCACTGGCATTTTTCTCTCAGAAACTCACCCCGGCGGAGACACGCTATAGCACGTTCGGACGCGAACTATTTGCCGTTTACGCAACAATTCGCCACTTCATCTACTTCTTGGAAGGCCGAGTGTTTCACGTGATGACCGACCACAAGCCTCTCACCTACTCATTCGCCGGAAACCACAACTCTTATTCTGCAAAAGAAATTCGCCACCTTGCTTACATTGCAGGATATACTACAGATCTACGCCATGTCGCCGGTATTGCCAACACGCCAGCAGACGCACTATCTCGCATTGGAAATGTATCCCCGTCTCCAGTTGTCAATTTTTCGGAATTGGCCTTGGCCCAACAGGAAGACGCCGAGCTGCAAAAGCTACGCACGTCATCAACATCTCTCAAGCTGCAGTCCATTACACTGCCACTCGCCACTTGTGAGATTATTTGCGACATGTCGACTGGCACACCCAGACCCTACATCCCTCCGAAATTTCGTCAGGCCATTTTCCACGCTCTGCATGACCTTAGTCATCCGGGAATTTGGGCCACACAACGCCTAGTTGCATCAAGATACATCTGGCCCCGGATCAACGCAGACATCCGTCTATGGGCGAAGACTTGCTGCAAATGCCAGCGCTCAAAGGTGTCTCGACACACAAAGACACCGCTCCACCCATTTCAACCGCCGGATGCCAGATTCGATCATGTACATATAGACATCGTGGGCCCGCTACCATCATCCAACGGATTTCGCTACATCTTGACATGTGTAGACAGATTCACGCGATGGCCTG